CTCTCTCTCTCTCTCTCTCTCTCTCTCTCTCTCTCTCTCTCTCTCTCTCCGGCCTTTGTACTTTTGTCTATACCTGTGTCCGTTCCCATGTCTATCCCTATGTACACACCTATGTCCGTGTCTACGCCTATACACCTATGCCTAAGCCTATGTCTATGTTTATCCCTGCGGCTACACCTGTCTGCACCTGCGTCTATTCCTATTTCTATCCCTATGTCCATATCGATGCCCATGTCTATACTTGTTTCTTTCGAGTTTTTTTGATTTATTCATATTTCTGAACGAATTCCTCTCATTATCTTGGGTGCATTCTTTATTAGAATTCCTCTTAACATTATTTCGACCTACATTTAATATACGTAACGTAATACCTTTTTTTGCTACATTCAGATTATTGTTATTAGCATTATCGTTATCATTATTATTATTATTATTATTATTATTACTGTTATTAACGCTGAAGGTGTTCAACGAGTGTTTTGATATGTTCTTGAAAATTTGATAAATTCGAGCGCACTGCAAAATTACAAAAAAATAATAGATGGATAACATACGTAATCTAAATATATATATATATATAGATAGAAACACTTGCAAAGAAATACATGCATGCATATCTAGGTTGAAAAATGTAATTATATTTAATTATTATCTTTTAGATGTGATATGAATACAATAAACGTAATTATAGCAAATATTCGCCTTAGAGCGAATATCTCAAATCCCTCACATCGAACCAACATGTTATAATATAATGGCCAAAATATTATTTATTATTATTATTATATATGGCCGTTCAAGATTCTCGATTTGAATTGTTTATACGCTCGTATTTTTATTGGTCGGGAAAAATATTTCCCTTGGATTAGATTTTTATTAAGTGTGGATGGGTGTTAAAGTCGATTATCTCTTTTTTTCTTCTTCTTTTTTCTCTTTTAGATGCACTTGCAAGTGTCATCTCTTCAAACATCAGACTAATAGAGCTGCTATGGATGGGTGTTGTTGTTTATCTTAAAATTATAAAAATTATATTTGGAAGGGGTTCCTGATGCATATCTTTTGATATTACAAACGGAAGAATAAATCTAATATAACCCCAGCCATAAAATGGTTTGAAAATCGAAAAAATTTTAGGGCCATTATAAAGCGCGTACATAAACACCACACAAACACACAAGCGCACGAGTAAAATTTGTAATAATGTAAACAAACATTTCATGTCGCTGCTGTTTGTTGTTGTTGTTGTTGTTTTTGCTGTTGATGTTGTTGATATTGTTGTTGACTTTGATAACATGCTTGGGAAAAACGAACGAATCACAAGAGCATTTATAATAACAAACGAAAAAATTATTTTACAAATAATTGTATAAATAAAATAGATTAGTACACAATAAAAAAAAAAAAAAAAAAAAATGAGAAAATAAAGAAAAAAATTAGAACGCGTTTGTGATGCATTTTATTCGCATGCAATTGATTGTCGTTGTCGTTGTGCTGATGTTGTCAAGCATTACGATAATGAATACAACAACGACGACAACGACGACGACGACGACGGTATGGCTATAAACTACAATAATAACAATACTAATAATGATGATGATGATAATGATGATTATGATCATAATGGCGGTGATGGTGATGATGATAATGAACGTAATGATGCTAACGCTGAATAGTGTTGGATAGATGAGTACGCAATTTTCAAATTAGACGCATGCAAAAAATTGTCAAAAAGATGAAAAATAAAAAAAAAAAATAAAAAATCAGAGTTGAATTAAATTCAGTTTGTTTTTTTTTTCTTTTCTTTCATTTTTTTTTTTTTTTTCTTTTTCTTATTTGAATTTTAAGCACGGTGCTGCGATGGTAGGCAATCAATACAAGTTACGAGCACAACACATTCATTCGTACATACTTGCATGTACAGGCAAGCGTAAGCGTGTAAGTGCAAGCGATGAATGCTGAATAAGTAAAGGAGTCAATTCCAAACGGTAGGTAATTTCATTTATGCATCTATACACCGCTCTTGTTATTGTTGCTTTTGTTGTTGCCGTTGTGCATAGTTGATGTTTTAAGATGAGCATAATACGAACAGAGAAAATAAAAAGAAATGAAAATAAACTTAAATAAAATTGACCCAAATTCAGATATGCAAACTAGTTTTTTGTTTGCGTTTGTTTGCTTCTAAGTGAAAATTTCAAGATTTCGTTTTGAGGTCAAAGAAAAAAAAAAAAATTATGATGAAACGGAAAGAGTTGAATATGCATATATATATATTATATATATTATATATATATATATATATATATTAGATACACTTACACGTACACATACATATACACGCAAACATATCTGCACATATAGGAAAAATTGAACAGAAAAAATTAAAACTCAAGCCTTAACATTAGATTAGTTTTTTTTTTTTTGTTCAATGAAGAATTTATAAAATTACGCTTAAATGTTTAATTTATTTATTTATTTATTATTATTATTGTTATTATTTTTTCGTTAATATTTACTGGCACTGATTTGTTCTGTTTGCGACTGTCCGTGTTAAATGAAGTTGTATTTTGTTGTTGCTGTTGTTGTTGTTGTTGTTGTTGTTGTTTTAATGGAGTAAAATTTGTTATATTTTTATTGCTTATTGTTCTTATTGTTGTTGTTCTTGTTGTTCTTGTTGTTGTTGATGATGATGATGATTTTGTTGTATTTGTAATATTGCTGGCATTCTGTTTTATATCTACAGCTAATAACGTATTTAAGTTTGTTGTTAAATTATTCTGGCTACGGCTAGGTGTGATTGTTGTTCTGGCCGTTGTTATTTTGGTAGCTGTTAAAGTAGCCCTTGTGGTGATTGTGGGTATTATAGAAATTGTTGATATCAAAGACTCCGTTGAAGCCGAAGTGTTTATAAGAGAATTATTTAAATCGCCTGTCAACGGCAGCTGTGACGACGTTGCTTGAATTGAAGTTTGTAAATTATTATCATGACCGAACGCAGCGCTATTGGCCGCCGAGGGTTTGCTACCCTTTAACGATGCTGTAGATGGCGACGATTGCGACGATGACAATGATGATGACGATGACGATGACGATGACGACGACGATGGTGAGGACGATGATGATGATGATGATGATGATGATGATGATGATGAGGTTAATAATGACATTGGTGACCAGAAATACATATGCATTTTTTTAAATAACTTCACTGTTCTACTCGGCAATGATAATATTAAGGATGATGAGGTTGCTGTTGGTAATGAGATCGGTGGTGATGATGTAGATGTTGACAATGATCCATTTGCATTTGTCTTTTTAGTCGAAATTAATGATTTTGCAGTTATATAACTACCATTCCACTCATTGGTGCTTTTATGCTGTTTAAAATGTCGTTAAATATTCGTTAGCAATTGTAAAAAAATTAATAAAAAAAAATTTAAAATAAAAAATTTATGGTAAAAAATAAATTAAAAAAAAAAAAAAAAAAAAAAAAAAAAAAAAAAAAAGAAACACAAAATGAGCGGATTAGAGAAGAATAAAAGAGAAGAGAGAAAAAGAGAAAAAAAATTGAAAGAATCACTTCTTTAATATAATTATAGAAATGTATAAATATATATATAAATATATATATATATATATATATAATGAAATATATTCAGGGTGAGGGCCTCAAGTCATAATTTTTATTAAATTTATTTTGCATGCTGAGGGTCACCTTGATTGAATGATAAATAAAATAAAAACCATAAATACATGATTGAATTTGAAAATGAATATATGAAAGGGGTGTCGGCAGGACATGTACGGTGGAGCAGCAGGGGAGGGGGGTGAGGGCGCTTTGAGAGTTTTGTGCGGACAGTTATTTTTAGAATGAAACTCGTGCTGATTTTAACTTTTAAAAGTGTTTTACTGTCCAATCTGAAAATCTGTGGATCTCTCCGCATTTCTATTAACATTAGGACGAATATGCGAAACGAAGATTGGAAATGTGACAAAAACAAAAAAAAAAAAAAACAAAGAAAAGAAAAGGGGACAAAGAAATGCAAAGAAGTGCTTTAATAACAATTGTACACAAAAGTTTTCTTCATTTCCATTCTATCGCTGAAGGATAATATGCCACAATCCAAGGATAAAAGATGGATAGTTTTTGTTTGGTTTTTGTACATATATGCTCGATACTTTAATTGTCCATCGTCCGTGTTTCAATCATTTAATTAAAGAATATGAATGCACATAAAAGGTTAGGAAGACATGGTGGGCGGAGACATGTCATTGAAAAAATTGAAAGAATTTCGGCATAAATATGCGGTTTTTCACAACTGACTAAAACAACAGAAAATCTACAAAAATGTATATATATGTGTGTATATATATATATATATATATATATATATATATATAAATATATATATATATATATATATAAATATATATAAATATATATATATATATATATTAGAAAATGGATCGACAATACCGTAAAATATTTATTAAAGCCGAAGCGTGAGCTACTTTCCATCAATCTGTTACCAAGTTCATAATTAGGAAAATAGATTTGCAATATTTATTTACGTATCTCCCTACGATAACGTAAGTGCCATTAAGTGCACAATAGTTTGCTTAGGTATTTTATATTTCAAGAAATCGCCATAACACCACAATAGAGAATTATTTCCCTTACTGTCTGAAAAGCATTGAAGTCAATTACATTTATTATTTAGCGTTTACCTAAAGCGCTTCATGGCGTCAATATAAGCATCGGCATGCTTTAGATTTTTTTTTTTTTTATTTTTAAATTTAAAATTAAAATTTTTCTCTGGAAATACCTCGATTTCGATTTCGATCTCGACCTCGAACAAATTAAGATTGATAATCATGTTGTCGTCACAGTGCAAAAATCCGAATTGATCCGCAAGAAATTTGACTATGCGAAGTGTGTTCAAAAAAAAAGGTGACTTTTCAACGCACATACGGCAGAAGAGGACATCGGCATATCGATGCGAAGTTTGTTCCGGAATTGATAAATTGCTTCTCATTGCTTGTTCGTAATTTTTTACCCAAAAACCGCACCGTGATCATGCTCAGGCTCAGCCATCGTATTCAACGGACTTGGTGCTATGCGACTTTTTCGCTATGAAAGAAAAGGCAAAGTTTTGCCCCGAGGCCGCTTCGCGAATATCAGAAGTGCTTCAAGAATTGGAAAAAGCATTGGCGGAAGTGTATTATATCTAAATCAGGTTACTGTGAAGGGTACGAAACAGATGTTGATGAATACATAAATATTTTTCGAGAGAAATAAAAAGTCACCTTTTTTATACCCATTACCGAAGGATGAGGGCTACATTCATTCTGTCAGAGATCCCAGAGAACATATATATTCTTGATCGGCATCACAAGCATGCCCGTCTATCCGTCAATATAATGTTTCTTGTAAACGGTCCTTTGGCCGCAAAAGTCAAACTATTAACCTCAAATTTGACTGAAATATTGGAAGTTATTGCGCGGAGGGTGGTGTTGAAAACGTCTATGGTGTTACGTAGAGTGAGAGAACCTTTGTTTTTTAAAAGAATGTGAAAAAAATCTTTTTTTCACATTACTCATAAACAATAGCAGATAAATTTACAAAAATTTGAAAGCAATTGAAACAGTTGGCCACGCCTACTCAGTAATATAGTGTATGATGGTTTAACTTTTTTTCCCAATACTTGATAACGAGCAGAATTAAGATTTTTATGTTTTGTCTTTTTTGTCGTTTAACAGCGATGGGTATAAAAGATTCGGTTGCCGGACCGAATATAATTTTCTTATTTATTTTTGAACACAAGTCGTATATCATGTAAATTGAAATTTGAAATACTCTCTAATTCGTTTCTAAATAAAGAGGCAAACGCTTAATATATGTCAGTCAAATGCATATGAAATAGTTTTGTAATCGAATTGTGTGAATATAACTTTAGTTTGAAAAAGGGGAAATGTTAATTAAATAAAATTCATCTTTAAATGAAATTAAGAAACTTTTGCTTACGCATATACATTTATGAATACCGAGACAGATGTAAAAAATAATCAGAAAAGAAAAGAAACTCTTATGTACTTACCTTTGTGATGTCGGGTGATGGTAATGGTTGTCGTGATATGTGATACTGATACAGTACCATGTATATGCATGTGGTGGCTACGAAGATAGTCAGGTACATTTTAATGGATTTTCCCAACGCCATGTTTGTCCGTTTTATGTGATTTCCCTTCTTTTTTTTTTGTGTTTTTTTTTAGTGTAGTGGAAATTCACGTTTTTATATTTATATGATTTTTGTTTCTCTTCAATTTTTTTTGGGGAATTTCTTCTTCTTCTTCTTCTTCTTCTTCTTTTTTTAGATTTTACAAAGGAATTAAAGATGGAATGTAGTGTTGTGTCTATTTGTCTTGTTGTATGTTTATGCGTTTTTAAATGTGTTTATGTGTGTTGTGTGTGTGTATGTGTGTGTGTGTGTGTGTCTGTATGTGTGTATGTTTGTATAATGTTAGTATGCAATTCAATGTTGTTGCTTATGTTGGTTATTTTCGATTTTGAAAATATTTTGGCTGACTTTATTTATATTCTATTTACAGTTTTTCGCTCTATCACGGGTTGAAACGCGAGCAAGTTAGTAAACAAGTTGCAGTGAAATTAAAAATATTTAAAGCTACTTCTTTACTTAAAAGGATTTATTATGATTTTTTAGTGTTCTTCACTCTACTTATTTGACAACGCAGCTCGTTTTTTGAAATATTTTGTTATTCTAACAGCTGAAAAAAGTGTTGCAAAAAATTTATTACATTATTTACTTAATAGATGTACATATATAACGTTAGCAAAATATTTACCTTAAGTCTCTTTAAGCTTTTTGTTGTTATTAGCATTTCAAAATCTTCAATTATATACTGCTGTAATCCAAAAATTAATGCTGGCATTGCTTTAAAATGAAATATACAAAGAGAAAGAGAGATAGAAATACCAAAAGGAAACAAAAATATATATATGTATATATATATATATATATATATATATATATATATATATATATATATATGAAATTGAATTTTGAAAATTAAATAACTGGAAATTGTGGTTTCCGAGTTGTTTTTATCCCTCCACAAGAAATATAAATAACTTCGTTTGACATTCATACGCTCCGTTGGTCACAGACGGAATAAGGTTGGTATTAAATAAAATTTTCCATTTGACTTTATATGCTATACGTGCGAATAGCACTTTCTCTGTTTGATCTATGCAAGTGAACATTTTCATAAATCTGAATATATGTATATATGTATGTGTATTAGACACTCAACCATACAACAAACAATAACTACAGCACAATTTCTCCAGAGTTTTATGACATTCAAAATGAAAATGCAATTCATATGGAGGCCTATTGTTAACTGTGTAAGAATAATTGTGTGTAATATGTCTCTATGTTTGTATATATGTTCAGGATACTGGATATATTCAGTGTAAGCATTTAACCCATTTACATACACTATACACACAACCTTCTATGTACACATATTCACGTATTCACGTAAAAAGCTTATTTAGACCCACGCATACACACACATATATAAGATATATATATATATATATATATATATATATATATATATATATGTGACCACACTATTGCTGCATATACTCGCATTGCTTTATGGGGTTTATTAGAAATTGTAGATTCACACGCACACACCCTATTTACATATGTACACGCATGTATATGCATGTAACGCAAAAAAAAAAAAAAAAAAAAAAAAAATAAGGCATAAAACATTACACGAAAACACAGACAGTATTTAACCTTTGTTTGAAGACAAAAGCAAAAGAAAAGAAAAAAAAAAAAATTAAAAATAAAATGGAAATGTATTAATTGAAAACAAATTAATTGCATCTCAAGCAGCTGTAAATAAAAATCTTGTCTTTTACATCGAAAACTCAATAGAATTGCAATCGAATCGAATATTTAACCTTAATAACAACAAGTTGGTAAGAACAAAATATTTGTGTTCACTTGGGTCAGAATTTTATTCAACCATTATATGTAATTTTTGCATAGACCGTTATGCCGCATCCTTATAAGTATTTTTTTGGTTGAATTTAATGTCGATATCTTGAATAAGTTGTTCTGCAGCTGATAAAATATATATACAAAAATGTATATATACATATATATACATATACATATATTATACATATATTTTCCATTTTTTTGATGATGAATTTTCAACTATCCAACTTCCTTTCGTGGGCAGATAATACTTACATTTTTGAAAATTGATCTACTCAGTATATATGTTAGTAAGGAAAATAAAGTAAAAAACAAGAAAAGCTGAGACCTTATCTCGCACACCCATCACTATGTCTTTCGCATTTTGCTCTCCAAGTTCTTTCATTTGATACACCAGGTCGCGGTCTCTATTATATTAGTTTGGGGGAAAAAGAAATCCATTATTTTTATATGAACTTCAGGACTTTATTTAACATGCTTCGGATTGTCCGATTTGGGTCAAATATGCACCGTTTTGTTGCACGATTTGTTGCCATTTTAAAGATAACTTCAAAATGCCTCTCTCATAGAAGTCCTGGTCTCTATTTGCAAAAAACTTTAGTAGTCGATTTTCACAATCCTCCCTAGATTCCAATTTTTTATCATTAAAGAAATTTTGCAATGCAGGAAAAAGATGATAATCGCTTGGTGCCAAGTCCGGACTGTATGGCGGATGCATTAAAACTTCCCAACCAAGCTCCCGAAGTTTCTGGCGAGTCACTGTAGATGTGTGTGGCCTAGCGTTGTCCTGGTGGAACACGACACCTCTCCTGTTGGCCAATTCTGGCCGTTTCTGATCAATCGCTATCTTCAAACGGTCTAGTTGTTGACAGTAGAGATCAGAATTTATCGTTTGGCCATATGGAAGCAACTCATAATAAATAATCTCCTTCCAGTCCCACCAAATGCATAGCAAAACCTTCCTGGTCGTTTGAGGTGCTTCTGAAATTGTTTGATCGATACTTTACGAGAAATCTATCAGTGCAGCCATCTACCGAAAAAATAATGGATTTCTTTTTCCCCAAACTAATATTAATGTTAGACTTAACCCATTTTTATACAGATCATACATCTATCTTCATTTGAGGAGTGTATAAAATAGTTTTAAAAATTCTGTCTTGTTTGCCTTAAGGTAAATAAGCATAAAATCTCAAAAAACTGAAAAGAATAACATTTAATTACTTGTAAGTTTGTGTGGGCATGGTCGATTGTTTCCATTTTTGGATGTAATGAGTCAAGTGTGGAAAATTTCAGCTTTCTAACTTTAATAATTTCCGAGTAACGAGTAAAAAGCCAAAACTTTTTTTTAAAAAAAAACCAAGTTTCGTTCAGGTTACAACCGACTGCGCGCTTCTGCTTTGACCAATTTAGTCCATTTTAAATATTGACTTGCGTGCAGAAATTTCCAATGTTTGTACTAAATTTGAAAACGATACCCTTATTTTTGCGACTAGAAGAGTGCCAACAACACACACCACAGAGACGAACAGACAGACGGACAGTCAACTGAGAATTTCACGCTGATCAAGAATATATACACTTTAGAGGATATTTGGAGCTTCCTCCTGGATGTTATATGCATATCATAAACTCTGCATATCATAAACCTATTCCTTCGGGTTCAAATATTAATTTTTATTCCCTTTCCTCGGCGATGCCTGGTTCGAAAACACGTCTTCTGCTTATTACAGAGGAAACCGCAAGAATGCATATAGTCAATGAACAAAAACTTCTCCCCCAATTTTTTATTTCCGTTTTAGAAGCTGAGAGCTGAAAGCTATCGAATCACTTCCAGCTCTATATCTAATTGATGCTCATCTCAATGACTCTACATTAAGTGGTTTTTATTTGGAGATACCAATTATTAGAGAAGTTAGAAATCAACAGATTGATTATTACACTTTAACTTTCTCGCAGGTACTTATATTACGAAATAGTTAGATATTTGAAAGAAGAAGTTTATTTCATTTAATGATTCACTTATTTCCCCATACCCTAGAGGTTCCAAACTAAAAAATAAAGACTCTTTTTGAGCAATTTACATTTGTTGTTGAGTTTTTGATATATTTTTCACAACTAATCGATATTTACTTTGCTCGGTCATTGTTAAATTATTGCGTGGCCCAACCAGAAGAGCATGCTCTTGTGAGATTGATCTTATTGCCTGCAAATGCACGCATCCTTAAGATAAATCGAAAGACAATCTGGTTTTATTAGTTCATATGCATCGTGAACGTTTCCCACTACTTTAATTTACTTACAAGCAAACTATGTCCTCTTCTGCGGGAGAGAAAAGATTCAAATAAGGGAACATGTCCTTTCTTGTTTATCAATTTTACACTGGAAATCGTGAAAATCTATGGCATTAAAACGTTGATGAGTTTAAGTTTTCATCTTTATGTTAACAACAAATTTTGAATTTGATCAGATTAAGCTGAGACAAATTAAGATGTCATAGCCATAGGAGCAGTCCGTCACTTTTAGCCTTTTCATCATTCGTCATACGAGGAAATTTCATTTTACATTTCTTAGCGTAAAGTAGCAAAATTTTTATTAGAGTCCTTATATGAGAGAAGGTCCAATATAGAAACCGACATGGTTCAGTTTTGTCTGTTCTCACCTCTTGTTAGCATAAAATAACAATAAGTTAATCCTTGTAGGCTTACTTTATATAATCTTAAAAAGAGTGCCGGCAAACAGACCTATGTGGTCTTAATATAAGGCAATAAACACATATTTGTGAAAAATATATATACTTTTCGATTAATTTTCATCATAAAGTATGAAAAACTTGATTTTATCGCCATATAAGGAGTTATTTGTTGTAAGAACGTTTATATGGCGGATTTCGATCCGATCAAAGTATTCCCTATCGACTTCGTATGCAAAAAAAATACCATTTTCCATTGAATTGGCCGCGAATTTTATTCGTGTAACGAGTTTTGCGACGCAGAGCACACACACTGCATCTAAAATTTTGTCAAAATATCTTGTAAATTTTTGCCGATAGCTAGAACACAACACATGGACAGACAGACTTAGGTGTATTCAAAAAAAAAAAAAGTCTCTGAATTTATGGGCACACAAAAAGCGATACTTCCAGCCCATCTCGTTCTGGATTGGATGCATTCCGCTCATGTACTCACAACCTCATACGGTTAGGATGGAATTATCGGATCGGGTCAATCAACACTAAACCAATACAATATCATAGTACAAGCAGATTTGCAATTGCTTC